GTTGTCCTCCCTCCTCTACATTCCCTCTACTCTTCTCCTCGTCCTCCTGTCTCCTCCTCTCCGCCTCCTCCTTCTCCTCTTCTCCTCCCTCCTCACCGACCTCCTACCTACCTACCATCCTGCCTGTCTGACTCTTCCCTGCCTACCTTCTACTACCTCCATGCTCCTCCCTCCTCCTCCAACTGCGTCTCCTCCTTCTCCTCCTCCTACTCCACACTCCTCCTCCTCCTTCCTCCTCCTCCTCCTCCTCCTCCACCACATCCTCCTCCTACATACTTCTCCTCCTCCTCCTCCTCCTCCTCCTCCTTGCCTCCTTCATTCCTCAATTCCTCCTCCTCCTCCTCCTCCTCCTACATTGATCTTCATTCTCATCCTACCTGCATCCTCCTCCTCCTCATGCTCATCATCCTCCTCCTTCGTTCCTCCTCGTCATCACCCTTCTCCTCATACATCCCTCCTCCTCCTCCTCCTCCTTCTACCTCCTGAACTCCTCCTCCTGCATTCCTCCTCCACCTTCTCCTCCTGCGCTTCTCCTCCTCCTCCTCCTCCTCCTCCTTCTCCTTCTCCTTCTCCTCCTCCTCCTCCTCCTCCTCCTCTTCCTCCTCCATTACCCATCACCCTCCGCCTTCTCCTCCTCATCATCCGCCTCCTCCCCCTCTTCATTCTACAGTTCCCCTCCTCCGCCTTATGCTCCTCCTCAGCTTCCTACCTACCTGCCTAACTACCGACCTACCGTTTTACCGACCTAACTACCTACCTACCTGCCTGCCTGCCTGCCTGTCTGTCTGCCTGCCTGCCCCCTCCCTACTCTCCTCCTCCTCCTCCTCCTCCTCCTCCTCTCCTCGTCCTCCTCCGCCTCCTCCTCCTGCATAATCAGCATAATCATGATCACCATCACCATCACCATCACCATCACCATCACCATCACCATCACCATCATCATCATCATCATCATCATCATCATCATCATCATCATCATCATCATCATCATCATCATCATCATCATCATCATCAGCAGCATCATCACCATCATCTGCAGCAGCAGCATCGTCATCACCACCATCATCACCATCATCACCACCATCACCACCATCATCACCAGCATCACCAGCATCACCATCACCACCGTCATCATCATCATCATCATCATCATCATCATCATCATCATCACCACCATCATCATCACCATCATCATCATAATCATCATCAACATTAGCATCAGCACCGGCATCAGCATCATCATCAGCATCATCATCGTCACCGTCACCACCACCATCATCATCATCAACATCATCAGCATCATCATCTTCCCCCTCCCCCTCCTCCAACTGCAGTCCTCCTCATCCTCCTCCTCCTACAGTCCTCCTCCTCCTCTTCCACCACCTCCTCCCACATTCCTTTCCCCTCTCCTCCTCCTCCTCCTCCTCCTCCTCCTCTTCCTCCTCCTCCTCCATTTCTCCATTTCTCCATTCCTCCATCCCTCAATTCCTCCATTCCTCCTCCTCCTCCTTCATTTCTCCATTCCTCCATTCCCTCTCCCCATCCTACATTCAATCTCTTCCTGCTCCTCCTCCTCCTTCTCTTCCTTCTCATCCTCACCCTCATCCTACCTCTCTCTTCCTGCTCATCCTCCTCCTGCTCCTCCTCCTACTCCTCATCTCCACGACCTCCTCCTTCCTCCTCCTCCTCCTCCTCCCTCCTCCTCCTCCTCCTCCTACAGTCCTCCTCCTCCACCTCCTCATCCTCGTCGTCGTCGTCCTCCTCCTCCTCCTCCTCCTCCTACGCCTTCTCCGAAATTCCTCCTCCTCCTTCTCCTCCGTTCCTCATCCTCCTCTTTCTAATATTCCTTCTCCAACTCCTCCTCCTCTTCCTCCTCCTCCCCCTCCCCCTTCCTCCTCCGCCTCCTCCTCCTCCTCTTCCTCTCCACCTCCTCCACCTCCACCTCCTCCTCCTCCTGCTCTCTTACTCCCCACCGCCTCCTCCTTCACATCCTCTCTATCCCCCCCCTCCACCTCCTCCTCCTCCCTCCTCTGCTCCTCCTCCTCCTGACTATTTCCTACCTCCTCCTCCTCACCTACATTCCTTCCCATCTTCCTCCTCCTCCTCCTCCTCCTCCTACGTCCTCCCCCCTCCTCCTCATTCTCCCCCTCCTCCGCCTCCTCCTCCCTCCTCCTCCTCCTCTCCCTTCTCCTCCTCCTCCTCCTCCTCCTCCCCTCCATCCTCATCCTCCTCTATCCTCCCTTCTCCTCCTACCTCTCCTCTCCTCCTCTTCCTCCTCCTCCTTCCTCCTCCCATCTCCTCCTCCTCTCCTCCTCGCCCCGCTCCTCTCCTCCTCCTCCTCCTCCACCGCCTCCTCCTCCTCCCCTCCTCCTCCTCTCCCTCCTCTCTTCCTTCTCTCCTCCTCCTCATCCTCCTCCTCCTCCTCCTCCTCCTCCTCACCTCCTCCTCCTCCCCCTGCCCCTCCTCCTTCCTCCTCCTCCTCCTCCTCCTCCTGCTCCCG